CAAGAGGTTGGACTCCGCATGACGCCGGTCCAGGCCAAATTGAACATTCTAAAAGAGGCACGGATACCAGCAAGGAAAACCCCGTAGGTCGCTGCCCACTGGTGAGGACGTAGTACATGCGTGTGAAATGCGTCGGTCAGGGCCACTGATGTGATACTGTAGCCCTGGCCCGAAATTGCAACACTCACATTAAGCAGAGCCATGGCGACTCCCAGACCTGGATGAGGCGATCATAGATACAACGTCAATTGTAAGTACGGGAAGGGTGCCCCACCCCATGATAGCATTGCTCACCTCCATAGATACCCATGTAAGCTCCTTGAGAGAGATTCTCGAACTCGTTACCGGACCAGAAGCCCAGGAAAAGAACGTTGAACACAGCAGCGGCTTGTGCCGAGACCAAAAAGAAGGTGCAGACGATAGGGAAGATAACGGTGCCAATGGCCCTAACATAGCCCACGTAAACATCGAGTCTTACTGCTCCTTCGGCTCTCTCTTCATCAATTATCAGCTTGGCACCAGCTTCTTGAGCGGTCTCCTCTGGTTTAGTCTTGCTAGACTGAGGATCTTGGGTGAGTAGAGCTTGCGAAGAGACTCCCTGTGCACAAGCGGCTTCGGAGTCAGTGTTAGAATCCGAGCTCCCGTCCGCGCTGTTAGCCTCGATTTCGTCAGTAAGTGACGGATGCGTGGCGGAGCCGAACTGCTCTATAAGGTTTCGGAAGATCCCGTCTTGTGCGAGTAAATCCTGCATCGGTAAAGGTAGCATTGCATTGGCTCATCAGCTTTGCTGTGAGCACAGATCGATCGTCTAGCGTCATACTCACGTGATATCGACCCTGCTGCATTATCCTGCCATCCCCGGTTTCATCTCGGTCCATGACGAGAACAAGATCTGCCTTGTCGAGGATATCGAGCTGATGAGTCACGAGGAGCCTAGTCCGCTGTGCCATCGGTCCGTTCAGTATGCAATTCTCCATTAAATGATGGCCTACATGTGCGTCCACTGCGGATAAGGGGTCATCGAGTAGAACGACATCGCTCCTCTCGTAGGCTGCCCGGGCAATGCAAATTCGCTGTCGCTGCCCACCGGACAACGTGATTCCTCGCTCGCCGATGTTTGTCCTGATAGTTGCCCAAAAAGCCATTGTTGGCTTCAGCCATCTCTGTGTGACCGGCAGGAGATGCCGCCGGAGACGGACTATAAGTTTAAATAAGTGGCTTACAGATCTCCATCCGGCCACATTTCCACATCTGGCCGAAGTCCGCAAGCGTCAATTACATGTTCCACTTGAGCGAGGTCGACATCTCGCTGTTCGACGGAGAAGGTGATGTTCTCCCTGATAGTTCCTGACTGTACCCAGGCAACTTGAGGGACTATGCATTTCTATCATATCAGCCATTGCTTTCCTCAGATCGGTGAGTTGAGGCTCGCGCCGGTCCTCACCATAGCTGACAGAACCGCCAAATGAGACATGGCCGTATACCTGTTTCATCTCATTGATCAGGCCGGACAGAAGGGCAGTCTTGCCTGTGCCTACCCGTCCAACGATGCACACCAAGGCACCTCGGGGTATCTTCACGTCGAGGTCGCGCAAAGCGAAAGGGCGCTTCTCTTTCTCCCTTTGCTTCTCCCCTTTGTCAGCTGACTCCTCGTGGCTCTCTAACACCTGAGCTTTGGTCTCGTGGTCCTGAGCCGGCTGGGTGCTGAGCTGTTGAGCTGCCTCGAACTGGAAATCCCCTTGAACTACAATCCCATATTCGGAGGATGCTTCGATCTTCAGGTCCTTTTTCAGTTCTTCCGCCTGTCATCGATACATAGACAGCAATATCGTTAGCGAGCATTCGGCGGTTCCAATGCCAGTAACTCTATGATAATGCTTACCCGTAGCATCTCACCGATACGACCTGTACTACGTCAGCTAGGTTGGACGTCCTGCCTTGAACAGAGGGGACACTCACGAATAGCGACTGCAGCCTCACTGAGTGAGGACAGCACTTCTGGGGCCATGGCAATTGGCGACCTGATCACGTTGAAGATTTGCAGGTTGGCGAAGACCAAGGCAGCGGTCAATTCGTGTCCGGTCAGTGAGTAGGTGATGAAGGTCACTATTATGGGCAGGCGTATATCAGTCAAGTACGAGGAATGGCTGGCCCGGACCGCACGCAAATATTGACTTCCATGGAAAATTGCAACTCACAAATAGCGGCCAAGGTGGGAACAAAACTCATTGTGGATGTCAGGATTGACCGGGAAAGGATATTGCTTTTGAATTTTCCCAGTTCATTGCCCCTCATCTTGGCGATACGGTCTCCGAACCAGACTTCATAGGCATACAACTTGACGGCCCTGATGTTGTTCAGAATCTCAGAGAGCATGCGGACTCTGGTATCCACCACTTGGTTCTGCTCTTTGCGCAGGCGGGCGACGTGTCTTACAAACCACACTAAAGATAAAGAGCGTCAGTGCGTGCTCAATCACACACGAAACAAGTCTTCCGCCTACCTTTGAACGGGACAGATAAACACAAGACCTGGAAGAGCAGAATCAGGAGTCAGCTGTCCCCACCAGACGCTCCGAACTCGACAGGACCTGGATTGCATTCTACGACCCCACTCACACCTAGACCGACCAGGGCTGAATAGCCTAGTTGCACGATAAGTAATGTCGTTGCTATAATCAGCAGCAAAGGTGTTGAGACCAAATCGTTTGCATTGCCCATGGCCCGTTGCTGAATGCGGAACCCAAAGTCACGGAAGGAAGGAGCCGTACCATGTGAGCAGGACAGATCCAATGCCTCCGGTACCATCAACAAACGGAGATGCTGGGACGTACCAGCATTGCAACATCGACGGACACCATGGTGGTTATTCGCCCGTGATCCATTTCGATCCTTGCTTTTCCCGACAAGCGCCTATCGGACCAATCAGCTTGTTTCATCGCGTGGCGTATGCATACGTTTCGACTCACATCGACTTGCGGGCGACGAGTGTAGTGAGCTGAAGATCATCAATACGATTAGTAATACCCCCATGGAGGCCGGGAAGCTTTGGGGGTTCTTGCTCACCGATCTTGTCAGGAATCGTCCGACCAGGTTGGACCTCCAGAGCGAATAGTAGAGTAAGGTTGAGGCTGTCATAAGCATGGCCCAGAGCCCAAAAGCTGCGCCTACCATGTAACCAATCGACTTGGGAGGAGTGACACCATTCGTGGATGTTCCAGAATTGGTAGCCAGGTGAAGCTCGCGAGCCTGGGTGATCTGCTGGATCAGGACTTTCAGGACCATCGGCGCGGTTACGCGGAGAGAGACTGCGACAGCCCAAGTGACTCTGCTCAGTATGCCACCTCCCATGAATTGTGACATTCGCAAGGGCGGTGAGATCTGGCTTACAACCGATACATTCGAGGATGGCGCTGAACCAGTAGTCTCGCCAGCAAACAAGATATATTGCCTTCAACAGACTCTGATCGTAAATTTTTCCATTTTCAACAACCATATGATGGTCACGGATCTTTCGAGCTTTGCGTTCGCCAAAGAGCTTTGCATTCGCAGCAAAGATCTCGTCAGGCGTTCGGGGAGGTTCGGCGTTCTCCATCGGATGGGTCTTGATCAGCTCGCCTGAAGGTGGGAGAGACTTCTGGCCCAAGTATTTTGGCACAGATCGCTGACTGTAGGTTGCGGGTCGCTGTGAGGGTGGTATCCGGTCCATGAAGCGAGCCTCGAGAGCGTTGCCCAACTATGTCGTCGATCAGACAGTCAGCTCTGGTAAACGGAATGGGGAGAGCTACGATCCAGCTATGAAGCTGAGCTCACTCACCTCTCGCGTTTTAAGGGTGGGAGTGAGGTCGTACATGTCTATGTGGCGCCTCGACTTACAGTCAGCGAGTAGCTCTCGAACTGAACTATACCGGTGACTCACCTTCGGGCTGAACAGGTCTTGACATGGCGACTTTCATCATCGGCGAGATCCAATTGACCAGGAGCTTGGACAATGGACTGGCATCCTTGTATGGGAGAGGTTGACCCTGAAAGATCCCCGGCGGTGCCGGTTCGGGGTTCCAGAACAGCAAGCCCATAGTGGTGATCTGTAGAGTAAGGTGAGTGGTGAACGTCGACAGGTAGTGTCAAATGAATCAGATCAGTTGTGTAAGGGAACGGAGGGGATACATAAGTGGGCCGTACGGAGTGTGTCGGTCGAGATAGCGTGATGTGTAGGCGGAGGGGAATATAGCGGATTGGAAGCCAAAGGGGGATCTGAAGGCAAAGGATTGAGGGGGACGTGTTGGGTCGCTATACAAGGGCATGAGAGGCTGCTTTATGGCAGGACCTTAGCCTTTATATGCACAGCCCGAATTTAGGAAACATGACCAGAGATCTAGAGCTAGGTTGAACACAGTTCTGAAATCCTTTGTCGGTAGTGTCGATCCTTGGTATAGCATGTCCACCTAGAGTCATGTAAGGTGGGCAGCAGCTCTTTTCATCAGTGAGATTGAGACGCGTCAGAAGCTTGTTAGGCTCTCATTTGATGTGTGTGCCCTGGACGACTTGCATGTTGAGTCCATTGCGCGACCTCGAAGATTGGCGAGTATACCATATTCTGAGGTCTGCACTGGCCAGGTACCCTGCCTGGTCGATGATGGAATGGGCATTCTCGAGATGATTGCGTCGGGAATACAGCGAATACATTCGACCTGGAAAAGGTAAAGGTCTGCGCTATGTTTGATCAGCATAGAACTGATGTGTATGTATTGAGCGTTCATGGAGAGACAGACGATACGAAGAAGTGAGGAAGATTGTCACAGATCGCGAGGATCATCAAGTATGGGTGTTATTCAGGCATCCTAAAGGGCCATGAGCTAAGCATGGTATATAGACGTAGCGCTCGGACCGCCTTCAGCTAAAAATGCATGACCGACGTTTCGTCTGAGCCGGATAGGCCCATCTGCCTGTGATTTAACTATATATATTTGTCAAAACTTTCCTTTTCATCAAAAACACCTAGCCCGTGTGGCGAAATTGGTCATCGCACCCGACTCTTATGGACGCTGTGTGTGTCTATCGGGCGATTGCGGGTTCGAGTCCCGCCATGGGCTTTCTTTTTGACTTTTGTCGAGGGCAAGATCCAGTATTAACCCATTTCGTAGTGTCATCCTTAGGTGCGTACTTCGTTTCGTAGTGCATGACACAGCATCAAATCATCAATCTCGTGGCCTCTATGTGCATACATCTCATCAAATGTCGTAATAAATCGTCAATCCTGTCGTAGGGTTCTTGAATTCGTCCTTGTTACAATTTTAACGCATCCTGCCTCAAACACAACCCTTCTTGTGACCCCCGGCGTCAATGCTAGTCACCGTCTTGGGACACTAGGGATGGTGACAGATAGTCGTGTCCCACAAAACCGACCACTACGATACTTCCGTCCGTGCAGCCGTACTACGAGTCCAGGCAGCATATCCAGGAAGAGGTGCCCAATGGATACAAACAATCAAGAGGTCAGTTAGCCTTGAAGGTTTTGTTGACCAACTTTGGCAATGGGATGATGTATGCCAGACGTTAGCGAGCGGACGTACCACAAACTTCTCTCTGTCGAGTACGAGCGACATCGGGTTCTTTTCGGGCGTCTGCAGGTTCAGCTCGTCTGCCCTAGACGCCCAAGCACCGCCCACATCCTTCATCTCCGTGCGCTTCCCATCGCGTCTCGGTACGCCGATGTACAGCTACGGGTGTAGTCATGAAAATGATTAGGCATCAGCCCCCATATCTAGAGGTCTGGGTCCTCCTCCAGTGCCGCCCTGCGAGCGTGCAAAAGAGAACGACAATGTGGAGGAGAATCTATGGGCACTCACATGCCTGTTGGCGCCTGCGCGGGCTGCAAATCTCGTCGAGGTAACCACCCTTGTCCGCCTGGCATCTACTGCGCCCTTCTCGACATCCGGCGCATCGATCAGCTCCACCAATTTTGGAGGTTTCGTTAGCAGCGGTACGATCCTCGTCTTTCGCTCTTTCGCCTCGCCCTCGCCTATATCCGAAGGCGTGACAATTCTTGAGATGGACGTTGACTCAGGGGATGAAGATTGCTTGATAGGACTGTTGAGGGCGTTCATTCTCGCGGACGAAGTTTTCGTGAGCGGGCTAGCCGAACGACCGTCTGTAGATGTCAGTATCTTGCTCCTACTTTTCAGAGGTGAAGGGCTATTTGTCACCCCAGAAGAGGCAGGACGGGTCATCGGGGTAATCTTGTTAGGCGAGAGACTCGAAGATGACTTCTTGGATGATAGTGATTTCGATAGACTCGGCAAAGACCCAGAGATGGCCCGCTGTTTGAGTGGTATAGACTTTGTCGGTGTTGAAGAAGGTAAGGCGCGAGATGTCGATGACACAGTCCGGATACGCGGCCGGACAGGGGATGGTGTCGCCGGTTCAGCAGGTGTCGCCGATGCACCGCCGATAGGTACGCTGGAAACAGGGGGGACTTCTTCCTCAACCTCGTTCCAACCTAGTCGGATGATGATCTCACGTGTAGCGCACTAATTTCCAGTAGGTCCAATAAAACGACATCTTGGTCAGCCCGGGTCACTAACAGCGCACTCCCTATACTAGTATCCCTCTTGCTTACCGTCATCCATCGACCTTGTCCCTCAAACCAGTTGATCATACCTACTCCACCTTGCCCGCCACCGATATCTCTCAACTTGGACTTCCATTCCATCTCTTTGTCATCTGTAACGCCGACGACAAGAGCCTTTGCGAGATCCGAGATCTTGTACTGGGCCAACATCTCTCTTCGTCTGATATCGAAGGTGCGGATGACCCCGTCTACGGTGACGGCGACGATGTAGTCGTGAATGAGCTGGATACCTATGCAAATGTTGGTCTGTTGGCCAAATCGCACGATCTTCTCGCCGGTTCTCCATGACCACACCACGAGGGCTTTATCGGCACCAGCCGAGACAAGATAGTGTTCGTTCAGCCTGAGATGGATATAAGAAAAGATCAGTATCACGCTTCATGTTCCGAATGGACGTGAACAGATCCGGTATGGCTTGGAGCTTAGTGGACAAGCAGGCATGAACATTACTCACGCAACAGCTCGTATGCCATGCAAATGCCCAGATAGCGTATGCACCAGTCCCCAAACCTCCGCTTTCTTACGCCAAACTTGGACCCGTCCGATATCGTGATATCCAGCAACAAACACCTCTGACGGCGGATGATAGTCCAAGCAAGAGACTGATTTGGCAGGTAGAACGAGCGGTTGGGGGACCGACGAGGGTGTAAGAGTCAGAAGTGGTGGGAGATGCCATATTCGAATTCTGAGACGAGGCAGCATCAGCGTCTCATAATCATTACGCAAGTCAGACATGTTAAAGTGCGAAAGTTATCTCACGTCTCGTCATATGAGCCGCTGATGAGCACATCGCCTCTTAGCCGGAGAGACGTCACGTAGTTTGTGTGGCCCTTGAGCATGAACACCTTCTGAGCCTGTACATATTCCAGTCATGTCAAATCAGCTGCAATTCTCGCTCTGAACGAGCAGTTTTGGCAGATGACAGATACGCACCAGACCAGCATTCCAATTCATCTCCCTCCGCCAAAGGCTTTTGTATAGTTCTTCCCTGGAATGGTTTGCAGTCTGAGCGAGAAACACTTAAACCTAAAGACTTGTGGGAACACTCACCATCCTCCTTCAGGCGAGACGTCGAGATGCTTCAGCCCAGCTTGAGCATCCCAGTCTCTCCATTCGAGTTGCCGACACAAGATGCGCCACAGCTCTTCCCGCTTTGTTATACTGCGGTATCCCCTTGATATCTGAGTGCAACGTATCAGACGACTGTCAATCAGCTGAATTTCCGACATTTACCAGGACATGTCTGGAATTCTTCAGCTCACCGTACGCAGCCTCAGTATGTCGGTGACTTCAAGCAGGCTTAATATCTTGATTGAGATGTTCTCGTCCAACCGAGAGAGGATATCATATCTTGATCTCTTGTACTTTTCCAAGATCTCGATCTGCGCGTTGATGTCGGACGGATGACAGGCTGGGACGGACCGAGCAGTAGGAACGCAAGCGAGTCAGAATGTGCGGATATCGACGACAGGTCAAGAAGACGGATGGTCTGCAACATACCTTCTGCTACCATTCCTAGCAGCCTCACTCTTTCGTCCTTGGTCAACCCTCGCACCATACCCTCGAGATCCTCTCGCATCCCGTCTACCGCTCTCTGCTCCAGCCTGCCTACTTCTCGAGCGCGGGCAGACTGCTCGAAACACTCAAGTGGGCGAATATACTTGGTATCGCTGCATTTAGCATGTTCCGCCCTAAGCCAGTTATACTCCCTTTGCAAGGTATGTAGCTGAGAGTGGAGATCATGTAGGGAAGATGACGAGGCCGATTGTGAGCGGACAAGGAGGTTCTTGTAGTGTGTTATCTGGCGAAGGTGTTTGGCTTGGAGGGTAGCGAGCGGCGACTATGATAGGTCATAGCATAGCATCATTTTCGACATCAGCTGGCTTCGATCAAGTGGGAGGACTATGGACGTCCTCCGACAGCTGACAAGTGGTGGGCCGCATACTTGTCCGGTCACCTCATACTCCGAGCTTAACTCACATCGTCATATTCATCGACTGCACCCGCAGGCTCCGTCCGTAACTCCCATCCATCCTCCGTTATGGGATCGTCCCAATTCGTAGGCTCGCTGAATATCTCAGGGAACGCTCCATCTCCAGCTACGACCGGACTGTGCGCCGCCCATTGAGGCAGAGTGGTAGGCTGACTCTGTGGCTGCACTCTATCATGCACATCGCGCGATAGCTTTCGAGAAGTTTGAAGTTGAGCGGACGGTTTCGAGACGCTATGACCTATTGGTGTTCGCGGCGTAGTCGGCCTCGGGGTCGACGGTCCATCCCTGGGAGTAAGTCTCCCTCGCGCATTCTGTTGAATGTCGAGCGGAGCATGTTGAGGAGAAGGTATTGACAGCCTTGGCTTCAGCTTGGACTGAGATGTAAACGAGAGCGAGTATCGAGGGCTCGGTCGTTCTCCTCGAGCAGTGGGTAAAGGAGTATTCTCGCTAGTCGGTGCTGGCAATGAACGCCGCGGCGTTGCGAGAGGGCGCTTGGTGGAGGTCATATCTGTCCTGTTATTGTCCCTGGGACGCGCAGGAGCGTCGATATCGGGAATCGTCATCTCGCACTACAAAGAAGCAGCCAGACTCCACCCATGATACTGTGCGTGTCAAGCCGATCAAGCAAGCTTCGGTGTGCAACGATGAGATTGTTCATGATTGTTGGTTTTGCTTGCTTCTGAAACGCGCGAAAGTCAGTGCAACACGCTCCGCGCGTCATGTCGCTAGCCTGGCCTCCACGCGCTCTTCGTCACCATAGTTATACTGTCCAGAGGCCGCATTCATACACTATCTGCATCTTCTTCATCTGTCGCACTCTCCGGGTCCTAGATCAGCAGCCGCCTGTCCTGTCCTCAAGAATATGCTTAGTTCGTCGCGTGTATGCTTGTTGTACCTATACAGGACTGGAGTGCTGAGGGTGGAGGTATCTTATGCGCGATTACCTGAGTCATTGGTGGAGGAGTCCGATGGTTTGTCACTGCACACTCTAGCTAGTGTCAGATCCCACATAAAGCTTAAAAGGTTAAACTTGAATTGATGCATATATCGTATAGTATAGTTAGTATATAGTATAGTGCCGACCCTCCACTTTGCCCTTACGACTTACCAATCAACGTGAAACTTTGACTGTGGCTCTCTGTGGCTGTGGCGTCCACCACGCGTACGAGCCTCACCTTCTGCTTAGCGGCCAAGATCTCTCGAGGTTTACGCCTGATTCCAGTCAAGCTGGATGCATATGGTAAATCAAAGGACAAATATGTTAAGCATAAATGGGCCGAACGATCCTTAGTCAGGAATGGGAAAGGATGTCTTGCTTAGGCAATGGAAAATAGTGGAGGAGCACGCACTCCACTCGATGCTTACGATGCCATTCCGTCTTCAAGCACTTCACTCGTACCGCTCAAGCATCAATGAGGTCTGATGATACTTCTCCGGTCGGTGCTGCCGCTGAGTTCACTTGTCATCGC